CGTAGAAACCTGGTAACATTTCATTATTACATGTATAAATCAAGAGGGCAGTTAGATTTTTAATTGACCAATCAAGAAATGGTATTATAACGTACATCATCACTAGTTCTAATTAACACGTTGTCTGCTGTGGAGTTTTCAGTAGGCAATGTGATAATATTAATAAGGGAGTTCAACATCATCCATTACTTTGAGTGGGCATGGCAGGAGATGCTGAATTGTTTTGAGTGATGAACATCAAGGGAAACAAAGAATTTCAAATTTCTGAAAGTTATTTGACACATAATTTCTCACACCAAAATTTTGCTTCAATAATTTGATTGTTTCTATGTAATTTTAGACATCGTAAAAATCACAATTGAAGGCGCAGCTCTAATAGAAGCCGCACCCCTAACTTGAGACATTGTTTCTTGTTAAAATTGTTAAGTTTTGATCACAGGGAAACCCTGCAATATAAGCCGCACCCCGAACTTCCACGTACGCAATGGTCTATTGTGTTTCATTTCCTGCCATGCAATCACCCAGACTGCGATTGAGTGAGAATGATCTAAGTAGTAACACGAATGAAAACAATAACTTTTAGGTGACAACGGTAAATACGAGACAGTCTAATCCTGTACTAAAATGCAACAAATAAATGTTTCATTTCCTGTTACTCAGACTGTGTACAAGTGAGAACGATCTTAGAAAAAAATAACTTTATTCAAAAAAGTTTCCATAAATACTGGAGTGAAAGCAAGAATCTTTCATTCTGAGTTCAGTATATCTGTTCGCAACACTATTTATCGCTATCACTTACATACAAATATTATCTACCACGCTTTCGTCAAAATGTCCGTTAGAAGAGCATCATACGACGCCGATTTTAAACTGAAAGTCATTGGTAAGGCGCTTGAGTGGAAGAACAACCGCAAAGCAGCTGATCATTTCGGTATAAATAAAGTCTGTAACTGGATTCGTTCTAAAAAAGAAATATTTAACAGCAAACGCACCAAGAAGAGGTTACCAGGTGCTGGTCGAAAAGTTCGCAGTGAAAACCTTATGCAATGGTGCGACGAACGTCGTAAGAACGGTAATGTAGTTTCTGGCCGTCAACTCCAGACGCAAGCTCGTCGCATCAATGAATATCTGGAATTTAAAGCATCAAATGGATGGCTTCGTGCCTTCAAGCAACGCCATACGTTATCAACTCGCACCAGGACATTGATAGGTCAGAAACTGCCACCCGATTACGAAGACAAAATTGCACAGTTTCATCGTTTTGTAATACAACTGCGTCAACAGCATCAATATCCACTGTCAGATGTTTACAACATTGACAAAACGTCGCTACATTTTGACATGCCGGGCAACAGAACCCTCGAGTACAGTGGTGTCAAAACTATACACATAAAAACTACAAACTCCGAAGAGAGGGGCTTCACGGCTGTGTTGACTGTATGTGCAGACGGTACAAAGTTACGCCCGTTGATAATTTTCAAGGGTAAGCGCCCTTTACACCTCAGCAATCGTGACGTCAGAGTAGAAGTGCAGGAAAAGGGGTACATAAATGAAAATCGTGAGTACTATTGTATTTAATTTTATTTTTAAAATCGATAAAAATGTAATGAATGTTAGAACAGAATAATACTAGATTACAATAAAAAAACACTGAGCCACGTGCTTTCATTTTAACCTTTGTCCCGATGACGTTGTTGTTTACTTTTAACTGTCTGACTTCTGAGCACGAGGATGTTTTACCATTTGTTTTCGCCAGCCTGTTCTGTTATCGGCAAAGTTTTTTTAATACTAAGGTTACGGGTGGCGTTTCTATGATAATATTGTTCTTTCAGTTTGTTTGCGGTGGGTTTGTGATGTTTTCCCAAAGAGAAGCGATGACTCGCGACGTTTTACTGATATGGGACTCATGTAGCGTACATCTGACAGCTCGGGTGAAAGAAGAGCTCCGGCCCCGCAATGTTGACATCGCCGTAAATCCCAGTGGTCTGACATCTATTCTCCAGCCCTTAGATGTTGGTGTCAATAAGCCTTTGAAAAATTATATGCACGACGAGTGGGACAACTGGATGAAGACTGGTGATGTTATATTGACTGCAGCAGGAAAACGAAAGGCACCGGAAAAGAAAAACGTGCTGGAATGGGTAGTGGCGTCTTGGAATGCTGTCCCGGCATCAACTGTTCTCAACTCATTCAAGAAGCCTAGTATCTCAAATGCACTGGATGGGTCGGAGGATCATCTCATTTATGAAGATTGTGAAACCGACGATGAAGACGACAAGGTACTTGGGGAGCAGATAGCCGACATATTTGCCAATGACGATGAAAACAATGGAGATTTTCTGGGATTTTAATTGCGTGCTAACTTGCACACACAAACCAAACGGCCTTTTTCAGGGCCACCACATATTTCAGAAAGAGATAGAAAGAGGGCAGTATGTTGTGTGTTCAAGTTTGTCTGTGTGTGAAAATCAAAAAGAACGCTTAGAATTGCAACAAAGTTTCTTTTATGTTGCTATCGAACGTCGTGCATCTCATTAACATATCATTATCTCTTCAGGCCTTTGTTTTCTGAAAAAAATTCCACTGTAACCGCAGTGAATGCCCCAATTGAAGCCACACCCAGACTTCGCGCATCTGAAGTCACCCATTAAAAAATTGAATTGTAATTAAAGCCACGGCTTCAATTATGATTTTTACGGTAATTGTTTTTTTATCATTTTTTGTACTTCCCCGGTCATAAACCCAGGTGCATGTAAAATCGGGAAAGTAGAGGTGGGCTTATACACGTGGACAAATGAATTTTTTGGGGTTTAACATTGTAACCATGTTACCACCATCGAAAAATTATCTAAATTACATTGTTC